TAAGCGGCAAAATCCCAAGCTCCATGGGATCTCTAGATTTTCTCAAATCATTGCATTTATGAAACAACAGCCTATCAGGGGAATTACCTCTGTCATTGCAAAATTGCACAAGGGTAGTGGCTATTGATTTTGGTGAAAATGAATTTTCAGGATGTATACCCACATGGATAGGAGAAAGGCATTCATATCTCAAGATTCTTATCTTAAGATCAAATAAGTTTTAAAGCCACATTCCTAAGAAACTTTGTGCACTCAGTTCACTTCAAATCTTGGACCTTGCACATAATAAATTTTTAGGAAGTATACCAGCATGTTTCATGAATTTAAGCATTATGGCCATGCAACAAAACTCAAGTGAACAAATGTCATACTGGCCTAATACTACCATTACATATTCATCCTCTTTTGAAGGTTTTTTAGAGAATGCAATATTGGTAATAAAAGGATAAATGGCTAGATATAGCACCATTCTTCAACTAGTTAAGAGCATGGATTTTTCGGACAACAATTTATCAGGAGAGATCCTTGAGGAATTGAAGAGTCTCCGGGGGCTTCATTCATTAAATTTGTCATATAATCTTTTGACAGGAAGAATTCCAAAGGATATTGGTGCTATGAAACAACTAGAAGCCATTGATTTCTCCATGAATCATCTTTTTGGTGAAATTCCTCCAAACATGTGAAGTTTGACATTCCTACGTCACTTGAACTTGTCCTACAACAATTTGAGTGGAAAGATACCATCAAGCACTCAACTTCAAAGTTTCAGTGCATCCAGTTTTGTTGGAAACAATTTGTGTGGGCCTCCAGTTAATAACAACTGCAGTGTTAATGATACACCATCAACAATTCAAAATGGAACACGTAAAAGAGGCGATGGATCTGAAGTGGATTGGTTTTATGTGAGCATGGCACTAGGATTTGTGGTGGGATTTTGGGGTGTAGTCGGTCCATTTTTGTTTAACAAGTCATGGAGATTTGTATGTTTTCGGTTCATGGACAACATTTAGTATAGGTTTCATGCTGGTATATTTTCACGTGGATGATACGGTATACATAAATAAAGAAGTGTAGATCTTTTGAAAGTCAATAAATAGTTACCAAACGATAAAATTAAGATGGTTTTTCCATGTGCAAATATCATTTCTTTTTACATATTTTAATAACTATTCCAATTTAATTGGTTAAATAAGGGAAGCTTATGACCCTTCTCATGAGGGGGTCATCGTAGAAGCATTACTCTTGAGAATTAAAGTAGAGACATAAAAAAGAAACAAACAAGCGAGACACAATAGAATGCCAGGTTACATGGCTATATGAAACAATATATTTTGATATATACTCTTTTCGGTTGTTATCAATAAAAATTGAACCCTTAACCTCAATCCTCTCTTTAGATAACATGACAAGCACTTTCATCACTATGCTACTTCAAATTTTGCAGTATATCGATGTACTTTTATTTGTTCATTCTGAGATAAAATAAAAGATGAATTTTGTTATTGGCAGTATCCACACGAGCATTGGCTATTCAAATACATAAACATGCAAACAAGCGAAGGAAGCAAGCAATATAGGGCCCTCTCAATTCCCCAAGTAAATCCTGAAATTTTACTCTTGCCCACTTGCATGCACAAACATATTAGAATCGGAAAAAAAATAGTTTTCTCCAATATTTATCAATGCAAGCAATTACTCTATGTGGTCTAATAGCTCTTCAATATCTTCAATGCCCTAAATGAACATTTAAGTAGTTTATTATTCTTTTATCAATGGAATGTGGAAAAATAATATTTTCTATGTTTTTATTTTTCTTTTCCTTTATATTCTCTTATTTAACTTTTATTGAACAATTATTAAATAGTCATCAGATATAAAAAAATCATTAATTCTAATTGTCATTCAGCCATTGGACATTAATACCCAAACTTGCACAGTGGGCTATGATGACTCCAAGTGTGTCACAAAACACAGACATCAGAGATTCTAGAGTAGATTTAGTCATTCCACCAGCCAAGTTAGTGAAAAAAGAGGGTTCGTGGTCCTTTCATTTATGCAAATCCAAAGACCACGAACCCTCCTTTATGAAATTAGGAAATATGGAAGCGTTTTGTCTAGGCCATGCACAAAAAATTTATGGAATTTGAAAGTTTGGTGTAACCAGGAAGATGGTAGTGAGTGAGACGGATCCCATTGTGATATCGATATATTGTTGGATGACAATATATCACGTCAGAATGGATTCTATTTCATTAATAAAATTTGAATTTTACATAGAAGATTGATCCCGGAAACTTCGTCTACACTCTTACAATAAAGCATTTGGCTGTAGTGGGGTATGGCTTTGGCACAACTTGCCCATGGATAAATTTAATAGCTTAATATATTGGAATTGAAATTTCAAACCAAAAGAAATCACGATTAAGACGCCAATTAAGTAGTGGCTGTATGTTTAAAACTTAAACTGCACGTTGAAATGAAACAAATATTGCATGTGGAATTACAGAAGCGATTTGCCTAGATTACATGCAAAGACTTTCGACATAGCTGTAATGTCAAACAAAGACTTTGCAATTGAATTTTTTTTTTGTAGTAATTAGAAAGAAGGTAACTAGTGAATGAGATAGATTTCATTGTGAGATTTGTAGTCCAATGACAGTCAAGTTTACGATTACTAGTGACCTTATCAAGTTTTATGAAAATTAAACTATGGTGATATAAAGGAAGAGCTATGGGCATCAAATTGTTATCTTGTTGTCATCAATATCCTGTGCTTCCTAGTCTCTCCTCACTACTGGAAGGATCCTATCTCCACAACATATAGCATGATCATCCATATGTGTATATCTATTGAAAGCATTTAACTTCAAATAAATAAATAAAAGAAGTTCAGTCATACAATTTTAGCAATTATAGTTTAATCTAAAGCTTCAAATTTAAACCTACGTTTGAATTTCCCTATTACTCAAAATTTGAAGTGATTACAAGTATTCAAATGATTTGGAGCTGATTGCAAGTATTCAAAATAATTAATTCCTTCTATTGTAGTAAGTGTACTGCAATTTATATTGTAGTTAGAAAATTCTTGTTAGTGTCATTTCCCAAGCATAGGTCTAATCACCATGAATTCTTTGAATTTCTAAGTTGGTGCCCCCACAAAACAGACTAAGACCAACACTTACGTTTTATGTGAAACACATTGTAGTGGAGCAAAGACTTGCACAGTCTTTGTTTTGTCCATTTTTTCTCAGAAGTTTGAAAAAAGAATCACGGAAATTTCAAATGACTGATTTAATGAAGTGTTTGTTGGTTTTGGTGGTACAACACGCAAAAGACTTAATGAAAAGAGAGTCAAGACAGAATGCGGAAGAGAAACTTCATTCACACTATGGTTAGGAAACTTTATTCACACTATGGTAGAGCAAACCCTTCTGAGATTCAAGCATGATCTAAGCTATCCGTCAAATCGCCTCTTCTCATGGGGTGCTGATCAATCAGGAGGGGATTGTTGTCAATGGGTTGGAGTTGTCTGTAACAATTTACCAATGGAGACTTGAAATGAAATTGTAAAAGTTATTTGTCCGGATCACACACAAAAGACTTTGGGCAAAGCCGTCATGTCTTAGCATATAGCCTCATCATCCTTGTGGACATATAATGAAAAGACATTGCAATTTGGAAAACTTTCGAGCAATTAGAAAGACATTAGCGAGTGAATGGGAAGTCGCGTGAAAATTAAACCCTATTGATAAATGAATCAAAGACCATTCTCTTAGCATATAGCCTCATCATCCCTGTGGACATTTATTGAAAGCAATTAACTTCAAATAAATAAATAAAAAGTTTGGTTATGTGATTTTAGCAATTACAGTTAATTCTAAACCTTCTAATTATCTTGAAATCATTAAAATTACGTTTGAATTTCCCTATTACTCGTAATTTGTTAATAATTCTTTTATACGAGACTTGTTCAAAAACACAAGAAAGCAGTGTGATAGAGAGTCAAAAACAAATTTTTATACTTGCATGATTATGGCCAAATTTGTAAATCGCTAAAATTATATTTGTAAATGCTTGATGAGATTATATAATATATATATATATATATAATCAGAGAGGGTGTGTTTTTAATTTGATAACAATTTTAAAAGAAAGGATATATCGAGAACATTGGTCTAATACTAAAAATAAAATGTTTTTGAACATTGTAATAGAATTTTTTTTTTTTAGGCTCAGCCACTGGATCCGCCAAAAGATATAGCTGTACATGAAAAGAAAATAACTTGCAATCTACATCAAGTACTTAATTGAACAAGTATCTTTGCTAAATTTGTATCCAAGGAAATTAATTACATAATTTTCAACATAAAGACCCACATTTCCACGTCAATCTTTTTGTCATTGTTAAGTGACGTGTTTGTACCATTCTCTCTTTTCAACACGCTACTCACACACGATAGTAGTGGTAGCATTCAACTAGTATTTTGCAAGTGAGTTGAGAATAATATCACTAATTACTTACTGAAAATAATAATAATAAAAATGATATAACTCTTTTAATTTTAATTTTTCAATTTAATTTAACAAAAATTAGTTAGAAGATATGTGTATAAATAATTGAAACACATAAGTGATTAATAGAAAGACTTTATGAAAGAGAGTCGAGTCAAGACACTGAATATAATTTCATCTGTTTTAATTATGAAGCGTTTAGTTTTTGACCACACCCAAAAGACTTTATGAAAGAGAGTCGAGTCAAGACAGTGAGTGTGTGGGAAACTTTCCTTGATGCTTCGCGCGGGATAGAGACAATTGAAAGAACAATTTGGGCCAATTGGAGTTCCCACCTTCTATAAGTACATTGCACATCTTCCTTCAAATCCATTCTCATCCATCATCATTAATACATATTAAACTTTTTGATATATTATTATAAGTTCAATATATATATATATATATAGCTAGTATTAGTTACTGGGTATTGTTATGTTTGGATGATTATGGCCAAATCCATGAGAGATGTCTGCATTATTAATATTGCAATTGTGTTTGTGCTAACTTTTGATACAATTGTGGTGTTGTGCAGTGGAAACAACAACTCTGATCATGTGGCTTGCGTGGAGAGTGAAAGACAAGCCCTTCTCAGATTCAAGCAACATCTAAGGGATCCCTCAAATCGCCTCTTCTCATGGGGTGCTGATCAATCAGGAGGGGATTGTTGTGAATGGGTTGGAGTTGTCTGTAACAGTCTTACAGGCAATGTTGAGGAGATCCACCTTCAAAATCCTTTTTTTGACGCTGTGTTGATGGGAGGTAATGATGAATTTGAAGCTTTTTAGAGGTCCAGGCTGGGAGGTAAGCTAAACCCATCCTTACTGGATTTGAAGCATCTTAGCGGCAACAATTTTGATGGGATTCAGATTCCAAGCTTCATTGGTTCCATTGGGAGCTTAAGATATCTTAATCTCTCAGATGCTGGATTTGGAGGTGTCATCCCGAGTCAACTAGGAAACCTCTCTGGGTTGCACTTCCTTGATCTTCGGGGAGCTTTTAAAGGACTGATTCCACATCAACTGAGGAGCCTCTCTGGGTTGCACTCCCTTGATCTTCGGGAATTTTTTGAAGGAGTGATTCCTCATCAACTAGGGAACCTCTCCAATTTGCACTCTCAGACTTGGAGGGCACACATTTTCTTCCTTTCCACTTCACAACACACACAATATATATATATATATATATATATATATAAAATAAAGTAACAAAAACAAAGCCCCAAAAATATATTTTGTGGGACCCACACCACATCTTTACCAAAATTATCTTTCTTTTCTCGGCTGCAGCACCTTGCTTCTTTCTTCAGCAAACAAAACCACTTATACGTATATCTGATATATATATAAACAAAAATAAAATGCAACCCCATTAAACATCATTAAACACAATCCACTTCTCTTTCCTTTCCCCACTTCGCTGCTCACTCTGACCACCATTTACATACATACATACATATATATATATATATATATAAAATCAAAAACCATATCAAAGACCCATAAAATACCATTCAAGTGGGACCCGAAATCAACCATCTCAATTTTCCCTCTCAATTTCGCCACCTGCTGCCTTCCATTTTCAACCTCCATCTTAAATACAATACATATATAAAAATATATATTATATAACAAAACTAAATTAAATTTCAAAACCCACTAACTTTAATAAATAAATAATTAATTTAGATAGTCTAAAAATAATAAAATAATTAAATTAAAATTTTAAAAATTCGGGTCATCACAGGTCATACAACAAAACTCAAGTGAACAAATGTCATACTGGCCTAATTCTACCATTGGATATTCATCCTCTTTTGAAGGTTTTTTAGAGAACGCAATATTGGTAATAAAAGGGCAAATGGCTAAATATAGTACCATTCTTCAACTAGTTACGAGCATGGATTTTTCGGACAACAATTTATCGGGAGAGATCCCTGAGGAATTGACGAATCTCCGAGGGCTTCATTCATTAAATTTGTCATATAATCTTTTGACAGGAAGAATTCCAAAGGATATTGGTGCTATGGAACAACTAGAAGCCATTGATTTTTCTATGAATCATCTTTTTGTGAAATCCCTCCAAGCATGTCAACTTTGACATTCCTAAGTCACTTGAACTTGTCCTACAACAATTTGAGTGGAAAGATACCATCAAGCACTCAACTTCAAAGTTTCAGTGCATCCAGTTTTCTTGGAAACAATCTGTGTGGGCCTCCAGTTAATAACTGCAGTCATAATGATACACCATCTACAATTCAAAATGAAGCGTGCAAAAGATGCGATGGATTTGAAATGGATTGGTTTTATGCGAGTATGGCACTAGGATTTGTGGTGGGATTTTGGGGTGTAGTTGGTCCATTTTTGTTTAACAATTCATGGAGATTTGTATGTTTTCGGTTCGTGGACAACATTTGGTATAGGTTTCATGCTGGTATATTTTCACGTGGATGATAAGATATGCATAAATATAGAAGTGTAGATCTTTTCTACCTATGTAATTTAATATATGATTTTCTTCGTGTGAAGTTGATTGAAGTATGCTTGCATCTTCCTCTTACATCAATTCCCTATCATCATCGTCATCATTATCAATGGAAACAACAAGCAGAAGAAGGTAACAAGTCACTAACCAAATGAATGCCCCAAAAATATTTGAGAGATTTATCACATATAATTGAAAAGCACAAGCTGCTTGCACAAGTCATGGAGATTTGTATGTTTTTGGTTCATGGACAACATTTGGTATAGGTTTCATGCTGGTATATTTTCATGTAGATGATACGGTATACATAAATAAAGAAGTGTAGATCTTTTGAAAGTCAATAAATAGTTACCTTCCCTATTTATTTATTTTTTGTGAAATACTAATTAATTTTGAGAAGTAATTTTTTTTATAAAAAAAAAAAAAAAATTAACAAACCGAGCCTGAGCTTTTAAAATCCAAATGAACCCGAGCTCAAGTATTTGAGTTCGTCACGAGCCAAGCAAACCCAGTAAACAAATAAGCTGAGCCCGAACAGACCTAGGCTCGGCTCATTTGCAGCCTTAGTTACAATTACATCTTATAAAAAATGAAACAATCTTATTCTAAGGGAAATTAAAAATTCTTATATTTAAATACAAGATTGGTCAACTAACCACATTCTTATAATTAATAACAAAATTAATCTAATAATTACACCCTATATAGAGCTCATGTTGACAAATACCAAAAGGAATCCACATCATCTATGGACAGGTGGATAATGTATGCACCCAGCTCTCGATCAAAAATTAAAAATAAGTAAAAATAATAATGTAATAATGCAACCAAAAAAGGGTGTATAAAGCCAGGACTCTGTTTCATTAACAAACTCACAACACTACTATTCGGCTCCTTAAAGGCCGGGGTTCCACTTTCCGGGTGAGTGGAAAGTAGGAGTGAATGTCGGGCGTGCTAGGAACTGCTGTCGTTCCAAAGTAGATATCCGAACAACTATCCAATAGGAGATTGTAGGGATCAGGCGATTGTATGAAGGACTGAAATTACCACCTTCAAAGGTTCTTTTTGTCTTGAAAAAGGACTTTTGGACTGAACTATGGCTAGTGGAAAGAAAAGCTGTATTGAAAGTGTAGGACTTCAAAGTAAAGTGCTGGAAAGTAGGAATAATAAGTGCAGGACTTAAATTAAATATATTGAAAGTGCATTACATGAATGTAAAGATACATGAATGTAAAGGAATTGAAGTGCTATTGGGCTGTGTGATTTGAACAGGATTTGCAAACTAGCTTTAAGTACTCTATTTATAGAGTTTTCCATGCATACAGCAGCTTGATGTGGCACCTTCAGTAGCTTCCACGTGGCCAAATCTCGGACTGCCATGTGTCCCATGATCTTTCAGCCTTCTCTAAATGTTGCCAAGTGTAAAACCATACTCCTATGATTTATAACTGATAGATAGTGGACTTGGTGGTTGAATACATGCTAGCAAGCCTCTCCCACGTTCTAGAACTGCCTAAATGGAAAGGCAGCGGTTTCCAGCAACAGTTGAGAACTTTCACTTGGAAGGTCTGGATCATGCCATGTGTCCCATGTCTTCCTTAGTCTTCTCCCCCGTGGTCTTCTTCTTTATTTCAGACCATGATTCCCCTAATTTAGCCATGTCATCCATTATCTTCAAACACTCCATCAGTTAGTGGTAGTTACCATATGAATTTTCACCACTTTCAACCGCCGTATTCTTGTTTGGCCCAGGATCTTTATAATCCCTTCCATCTATAGACTCCATCTTTCCTCATACAACTCCATATATATTATGCATAAATGAAGAAGTTACTTACAGACCCACGTTACCTTTAACCTGGGTAACTTCCTTCTAGTTTGATCTTTCCTTTCATGGCATTATGGCTCCTTCTTTCTAGCAACATAAAATACAAATATATATATATACACACACAAATATATATATATATATATATATATATATATATATATATCCATAAATATGTGTTATCCCACGTTCCTTCTATATATATATATATATATATATATATATATATATGTGTGTGTTATCCCACGTTCCTTCTTTTCTGCAAACCACGTCTCCTTGATTTTCTGCAACTTCTCTCAACCAAACCTTCCTTTCTTGGCTTGAAATTCATGACGCCATGGACTCCATATTTTCAGCAACTGCTTCATCGTGGGTTGTATTCCAGAATATAAATATATATTTCTACACACATATATATATCCAGAAATATATACTTGCTATTTTAAACCATCACCCACTTCCCTTTTCTTTTGTAAACCACGTTTCCATGATTTTTGGCAACTTCCATCTTGAGACTTTCCTTCTGGGCTTTGGAGTTCATGGCGCCATCACCTCCTTGATTTTAGGAGCTTCCTCATCATGGTTAGTTTCCCAGAATATATATATATATATATATATATATATATATGTGTATTTGTACACATATATATATATATATATTCATCCAACCTACTTCCTTTATCTTCTGCAATCACAGTTGCCTTAATAAAATAAATGTTGAAGCCTCCTAAAAATAAGGAGAGAATCCATCCCCACGTTCTCTTTTTCTGGCTTGGTCAACTTTACCAATTTTGGTAACTCTTCAAGGTTTTGAAGATACGTGATTTGCCCACAAAATTCACCCATTAATTCTTTAAAAGAAATAATATCTTATGATAAGTTTCATAAAACTCGCCATGTGTCGAGAGCCAATTGGTTGAATTTATCTTGAATAATTGCTTGAGACTACATATATGGTAGTATTTCCATAGAATAATTCCTTCATTCCAAATAGGAATTTGTAGGCCATCACTTTAAAGATGGCAAGTCCTAATAGGACTCACCTCTTTTCTTTTAGGATAGAAAACTCTACGTGATAGGATTGTACTGGCCAATTGTTTTTGATTGCTATGTAAAATTAAATAGCTTTAATACTCCAATAATAAATTATTAGAGTTGCGATCCAGCGTGGTAAGTTTCATTGGAACTCGCCACATGTCGCCTTTTCATTGGGCCAAAATAATGGAGTAAACAACTACCATCCTTCAGTTCATCTGTTCATGAAATGACCACTTTGGAAAAACAGAGGTCACCGAATGGCCACGAAAGATACAGAGAAATCATCTCTACCCTCCCTAAAAATGACAGTTGGAAACCCTTTGGCTTTCAACACCAGTATGAAGGCTTTTGGAATTTCCCAATAGTCTTGGAGGGAATCATGTCAGCTCAAGAACACTTCCAGGCTCAGCCCTGACCTATTCTATCGTTACACGTACTCGTTTTGGTCCCTCCGCCAGCCCTTTGCTCACCACAATGCCACATAATTGTGTCCCATTTTTGGAAACTGACCTCTTTCACAACTTAGCTATTCGAGACCCTCAGCTCTTTCACCACTTGTGTTCACACACATTTCCTATACATCATTACCAAAATCCATTATCAATTCAGGTTGTAAAATTGTTTACATTTTCCGGGATCCTAAGGATGCATTTGTTTCTCAGTAGCATTTTGCAAGAAGGTTACTAAATCCCAATTAAGGACGGGGATGATATTGATCAGGTACATTGCCCTATTGAGGAAGCTTGTAAGTTGTTTTGCAAAGGAGCATGTTTCTATGGACCCTATCGGGATCATGTTGTAGGGTACTGGAAAGCAATCTTGGAATGGCCGGAGAGGGGGGATGGTTGTTTGATATACCATTCGACTTCATCAAATAAAGGAAGTAAAAGAAAGGTATAATGTCATTGTAATATACTTACCAAGATTCCATTCCAGCCCGGAGGTGGTAGTGCTTCTAGACGGCATCCCAATCGGGACAAGTCCACAATGAAGGCCCTCAACTGAGGATTGGATATGGATCTCATGATTGTGAGTCTTTGGAAGAAGTTGGATGAGGCAATGGTTGGATAAAAGAAGTATTCTCATGGCCGAGAAACGATAAAGAACATTTATGTTTCCAGCCTCATGGTCAAATCGTCCACCAAGTGCTCCAAGAACAAGAATGCATAACTTCAATTAAAACAAGACTAAGAATCACCTAAAAGTGCCAATATGAGCACTCACACCAGTGACAAAGCAAATATACCACATTATGGCCTAATTGCAAAAACACATCATTGTTATATAAGCTTAAATATTTTTGACTTACACCCGAATCTCATTGTAAGTTGCATGGCTATATGAAACGATATATTTTGATATATACTCTTTTCGGTTGTTATCAATAAAAATTGAACCCTTACCCTTAACCCCAATCCTCTCTTTAGATGACATGACAAGCACTTTCACCACTATTCTGCTTCAGCTTTTACAGTATATCGATGCACTTTTATTTGTTCATTCTTACACTTATTTCTTTCCTATAAATCAATTTTTTTCTTTAGACTTTTAAGTTCTCCTTCGCATACAAATGTACATCAGTGCATATGACATATGTGCATAATTAGTAGGGTGAAATTTCTTGGCAAGCTATATTGCTGTAATAATGAGACCAATTGACATACTCCATAATCATCCTCAACAGAGAATGTCAAATGGTTATGTAAAAAGAATATCGCTAACTCACCTTGTTTTCATAGAAATCTTTTACTTCTTGTCTAATTGAATCCATGTCTCCCTTTATTACATCTGGCTTGTACCTGCAATAAATCCACGACTTAATATTGCAAATGGTCAATTTAGAACAAGGGTCCAGAAAATATACTGCAAAAAACATAGAGAAGACTCAAAATGACATAGATTCAGTCTAATTTGGAGAATCCATGATGTAGAAATGACAAAGATTCAGTATATTGATGCACAAGTAGTACTTACAAAGCAACAGATAATGGAACTACAATGAAAAAAGCCCCCCAAAGCAAATTTGTGAAGCACCCCCAGGGAGCACCATATAGAGACCATGCGCATTAACCCACTCGGAATACAATCCATCTCAATCTCCGAACCGTAAAAAAAAACTCTCAGTTATGTTCCTTCCAAATTGATCATGCTACTGCGAATGGAGCTTCCACTGGCTGTCCCTCCAAACTCCAAAACCAAAACCACACATTCAACAAAAAGCTAAGATACACTTGTAAAGGGTAGTGCATCATGATATATGTCAATAGTACTCATTGAAGCATGCTGGATTTGTGGTTTTGAGAACAAGGAAGATGGAGCAGCATGCAATTGATTTCTTTTACTGCTATACGTTTCCCCTCTCTCTAAATCATCCGTGTGTGCACATTCATTTAATTTGTGCAGAACACTTCAACTTTGCAATCATTAATTCTAACCGATGAGTCATTGATTGAAGAAAAATGATTTTTAGTGTTGAGTGTATCAAATACATTAGAAATTATAACATGGTGCCGGACTAATCATAGGACAAAATATATAAAATTAAATGTGTCACAAGATGACATACAGACACTATGGTTTAAGTACTTAGCTTGAGTATCATTACTCTTGATTGAAACCATGTAATAATTGAGAATTTATCTTATTGAATAAAAGTTCATATTGTATATTCTCTTTTCATCTGTACACAATCTTTAAACTTTAACTGAAAAAATAAAAAAATAAAAAAAATTATTTTGTAATTAACAAATTTTAATTGTATATGTCACCATTTTTATTGATGCGTAACTATAGGTAATTTTTTTATTATTATTATAATAGTAAAATTCATTATCGAAAATTGGGAGAAAAAGTATAATTGTGATAAAAAGTGTAGCAAAATCAAAATGGATTGGGTCCGCAATTATATATATTGCTGTTTTTCTTTAGGAAAAGTGTAGCAGAATGGATTCGGTCCCCTATTGAATCTTTGTTTCTCTTTGCGGTTAATTGAATCTAATTTAGAGAGTATGAAGTATTCACTTCTAATGGTATATATTTTCTCATCTTGTAAAATGATTGTGGGTTGATCAAACTGAGTATGTTTCTTTGCCCAAAAAAAAAAAAAAAAATTTCGTAAAACTGAAAAGGCAAAATCAATCCCGAGAAGCTACAACTTCAAATAGAACATAATTCGCACATATGGCTCGGTTGGTAAGGAGTTTCTTGAAAAATGTCTCGGGTTCGATTCTCACAAGGCAAAAGTACCTGAGTTTAAATAATATACATGATTTAAAGATGACTACCTCATAGTCCAGGTGTGAATTGATTCTTTATTACCAAAAAAAAAAAAAAAACCATACAGACAAGATTCATGAGGAGACTATGCCAGTGTCTAGCTCATCCCAATTGAATTGATGTGATAGTTTATATAAGAGAGATATAGGTATGTGTAGAGAACAACTAAATCTAAATCCTATAAGTAAACATAAACTCCATATAGTAACAATATACAATAAAATATATTCTAACAAGATATGGTAACAATATATTCTATAATATATTCTAAATTTAAATCCTATACGGTGAACATAAACTCTATATAGTAACAATATACAATAGAATATATTCTAACAAGATATGGTGACAGTATATTCTATAATATATTTTAAATCTAAATCCTATACGGCAAACATAAACTCTATATGGTAACAATATATAATAGAATATATTTTAACAAGATATGGTAACAATATATTCTATAATATATTCTAACTATATATCTATATAAAAAAATATATGTGCAAAGTGTTTTTTCAGTATTTATTTATTTATATAAAAAAATATTTATTAATTGATATAAAAATAATTTTTGTAAAAATAGTTTCTATAAACCTCTAAAAATTACCAAATAAAATCAATCACATTCTATATACAACTCTTATTTTTAGTTATTTTTTTTATAGATAATTATAGTTTCTATAAAACTCCAAAAATTACCTAATAAAATCAATCACATCCTATATAAAACTCTTATTTTTAGTTAATTTTATGAATAATTATCACAATATAACTGGCCCGGCCCATTTATGATTATGTGATTATTAAAAAAGGACACATGTAATCATCCTATTCATCCAAAAAGCTTATAAATAGAGGGAAGGAGAAAGGGGTACAGAAATTGAGAATTCTAGAAATCCAGAATTCCAGTTATTTATAAAAAAATATTTATTAATTGATATAAAAAAAGAGTTGAATTAACCTATTTATCTATTTATTATTATCCATTTTTTAATAAAAGAAAATCTAATTAGACAAGATTTATTAATATAAAAAATATCTATTAATTCATATATAAAATAAAATAATTTTTATAAAATTCTAGCACAAATTAGCTTTTATTATGAGTATCTTAATAAAATTAAATCTAATTAGACAAGTATATATTTAAAGAAAATAAAATAATTTCTACAAAACTATATTACAAATTACCTATTTTATTATCAATAAAACTCTATCAACAAAGATATATTTAAAGAGTTTCTAGAAAACTCTAACACAAATTATTTATTTATCAATTTATTATGAGTTTTTTAATAAAAGGAAACCTAATTAGACAAGTATTATTAATATAAAAAATTATTTATTAACTGATACAAAAAGAGGTTTTAATAGAGTTTTTAAAGAATTCTAACACAAATTACCCATTTATCTATTTATTATGACTTTTTTTAATAAAAGTAAATCTAATTAGATAAGAATTATTAAAATAAAAAATATTTATTAATTGATATAAAAAAAGGAGGAAGGAGAAAGGGGTATAGAAATTGAGAATTCTAGAAATTCAGAATTTCTGAGTAAAATACAGAAGTTCTGCCAAAGAGTTTCAGTATTTATTTATTTATATAAAAAAATATTTATTAATTGATATAAAAATAGTTGAATTTCAGAGTAAAATACAGAAGTTCTGTCAAAGAGTTTCTATTTATACTATTATTAGATGTGTAAAGAGTTTTAATATTTATTTATTTATATAAAAAATATTTATTAAATGATATGAAAAGAGTTTTTACTATATATATATATATATATATACACACACACACACACACCCACATTATAAAATTTAAATTAACCTATTTATCTATTTATTATTATCCATTTTTTAATAAAAGAAAATCTAATTAGACAAGATTTATTAATATAAAAAATATTTATTAATTCATATATAAAATAAAATAATTTTTATAAAATTCTACCACAAATTAGCTTTTCTTATGAGTATCTTAATAAAATTAAATCTAATTAAACAAGTATATATTTAAAGAAAATAAAATAATTTTTATAAAACTCTATTACGAATTATCTATTTTATTATCAATAAAACTTTATCAACAAAAATATATTTAAAGAGTTTCTATAAAACTCTAACACAAATTATTTATTTATCAATTTATTATGAGTTTTTTAATAAAAAAAACCTAATTAGACAATTGTTATTAATATAAAAAATTATTTATTAAGTGATACAAAAGGAGATTTTTAAATAGTTTTTAAAAAACTTTAACACAAATTACCCATTTATCTATATATTATGAGTTTTTTTAATAAAAATAAATCTAATTAGATAAGAATTATTAAAATAAAAAATATTTATTAATTGATATAAAAAAAGTTCTTAAAAGAGTTTATATTAAACTCTAACACAAATTACCCATTTATTTATTTATTATAAGTTTTTTAATAAAAAGAAATCTAATTTACCTAATAAAATCAATCACATTTTATATAAAACTCTTATTTTTAGTTATTTTTTTATAGATAATTATAGTTTCTATAAAACTCTAAAAATCACCTAATAAAATCAATCACATTCTATATAAAACTCTTATTTTTAGTTATTTTTTATGGATAATTATTACAATATAACCGGTCTGGCCCAATTATGATTATTTCATTATCAGAAAAGGACACATGTCATCATCTTATTCATCCAAGAAGCTTATAAACAGAGGCATGGAGGAAGGATGAAAGAGTACAGAAATTGAGAATTCTACAAATCTAGAATTCCAGAGTAAAATACATTGATATAAAAAGAGTTGAATTCTAGAGTAAAATACAAAAGTTCTGTCAAAGAGTTTCAGTATTTATTTATTTATATAAAAAAATATTTTTTTATTGATATAAAAAGAGTTTTTATCTATACTATTATTAGATGTGTAAAGAGTTTCACTATTTATATATTTATATAAAAAATTATTCATTAAATGATATAATAAAACACTAAAATCCACATAATAAAAATTAAATTAACCTATTTATTTATTTTTTATTATCAATTTTTTAATAAAAGAAAATCTAATTAGACAAGAATTATTAATAAAAAAATATTAATTAATTGATATATAAAATAAAATAATTTTTATAAAACTCTACTATGAGTTTCTTAATAAAATTAAATCTAATTAAACAAGTATATATTTAAAGAAAATAAAATAATTTCTATAAAACTTTATTACAAATTACCTATTTTATTTTCAATAAAACTCGATCAACAGAGTTTCTATAAAACTATAACACAAATTACCTATTTATCTACTTATTATAAGTTTTTTAATAAAAGAAAACCTAATTAGACAAGTATTATTAATATAAAAAATTAACTGATACAACAAGATTTTTTAAAAAACTCTAATACAAATTACCTATTTATCTATTTATTTTGAGTTTTTTTTTTATAATAAAACTAAATCTAATTAGAGAAGAATTATTAAGATAAAAAATATTTATTAATTGATATAAAAAGAGTTTTTAAAAGAGTTTATATTAAACTCTAATACAAATTATCTGTTTATTTATTATAAGTTTTTTAATAAAACAAAATC